CATGTGCCCCAGCGTTCATTTACCCCATCCAAAATCCAAATAATCAATCCAAAAATAGTTTTTTGGTTAATGTGAGAAAAATATAATTTGTAACCTGTTTGTAATTCTATTTGTCTGTTTATTCTCCTCTTAAATACAAACAGCCCATGTGGATGTATTTTTAGAAGTAGCTGAATACTGCTAAATCTTTCCAGGTCCCCTCTGGCAACAGCAGAGGTAGGCCCTCTAGCTGGGAATCACTGGTTTATTAATATTGTTTTGGAATGGCTAGAATGAGTAATACTTCACCTTTCTAAATAGGAATTCAAAATTTTCTTAACCATGAACACGACCACCAGTGTGCAAACACAGGCAACCAAATAAAGGCTACCCTTCCACGGATGCTGAATGGTGGGCCTCACATTGTGAGGGGATAAAACGGTGAAAGGTATACCTCTGCCGCAACATCACTTAGCTGATTAAGGTACCAGCAGGCCTTTATGCAGCCCATTGAGGAGCTTATGACGGATTAAAATAACCGCTAGGTGATTAACAGGGGCCGGTAAAATGGCCTGATCATCCCCCCTGTGTGTAGAGCTGGTAAAGAGACATAAAAAAACAAACAAATCCATTACCAAGATTTATGCAGCATTATTAAATTCACTGGGACAATAATAGTGAAAGGGCAGCATTCCATCACGTTTAGAGCACGGGGAGTAATGAGTTGTCATAAGCAGAGAATCAGATGGAGGATATTACATTACCCATGCCAACACTTTCAAAGGAACCATTATTTCAACTTTTGTCATTACAGATTGAGCACAACAAAAAAAGAAAAATTGGGAAAAGAATTGTCTTCTTCAAAGTCTATTGGCAGAAAACACAAAGAATCAAATCCTCCTTGACGTTACCTTGGCAGGGGTTAGATGAAAATGGAGGGTCACTAGTGGTGTGGTGTGTGAAGAGGACTCAGTGGGACAGAACACTCAACAAATTACTGCACATAGAGGAGCAGGAAATGACTTCCTCTAACTGTGGCCAGATGGCTCTGTTTTTACCTGCTTTGTTCTAAATGTATGTTTTAAAATGAAATGGAAACCTGCAGGGGTATGACAAAACTACATGGACACCTGTGTTTTAAAATCACTGCTTGAAAGGTGGCCCACAACAGATTGAGTGCCAATTAGCAGAAACTGTAAACCCCCTTTATAATGTATGAGCAACATATTACCATGTTGATTTGTTTCAACTTATGACTCATGTATATGCTAATTTTTTTAGCCATGCGAGCTGTGGTCAGTTCCCCACAACGTCCCCCTCCAAACGGAAATGTCTCAAACTATTGGATGGATTGACATGAAATTTGGCACATACATTCATGGTGCCCTTAGGATGAATCCTAATGACTTTGGTGATCCCCTGACTTTTCATCTAGTGCCACCAGCAAGTTTACTTATTTTTACTTGTGTGAAATATCTGGACAACTAATGGGTGGATTGCTGTATAACTAAATATATTCAAGATCCCTAGAATATAAATTCTAATGACCTTGGGGATCTTCTAACTTTTCATCTAGTGCAATCATTAATCAGTTTAATTTGTCCAGTACTTTGATTTATGACCAACTACTTGCAAAACTAATGACTAATTAGCTAATTAGGGAATGTTAGCATGCTAAGCTAAGACGATGACCAGGGTGAACATTACACCTGCTAAACATCAGCTTGTTATCATTGTCATTGCTAGCATGTTAGCATTTAGCTCAGAGCACACTGTGCCTCACAGAGCTGCTAGCATGGCTGCAGACTCTTGTTAAAACTTTATTTTGAGCATGCACCTGCAGCTGGAATTGTGATTTGACTTTGCAGTATTCTGTTAGTTGACTTATGGTGCATTAGAGTATCTTTTTATCAGGTTTTCACATGAGAGGAAATATCCCAAATGGTGTTGTCCTCTGAGCAACTACAGCAAAAAAAGAAAGAAATGGTCCTTAGAGGTTAAACTTTTCTTTAAATATGCATAGGTTCAGATTTCCATAATCACACAACAAGGTGGCAGCTTTGCTGTCCCCTTTCTGCCACTTCCATTGAATAAAATGCAAGACAGAAAAGGTTATAAAAGCGTTAGTCTTATGTATACTTATCCGGCCTAGAGGACAAACCTCTACTTTTAAATCAAGGTGGGAAAAAATATGGGGTGCAATTCATCTTAAGATGTGTGAGAACCCAGTTCAAATGCACCTTTCATTTCCTTTAACAGTTGCCACAGTCCAATTCAGTTATGCCCTTACCAGATGTATTATATTCTTGAGACATTCAGCTTTGTATTAAATAACATGTTAAGTGTGACACTACATAGGCTGTGGTCATGCTCTGAACTTTCTAAGATTATTAGTGTCTTTGTGCTGATGCTCACATCCTTGTGGAAACCCAGACTGGCTCGCCTGAATGATGACTGACTGATACTAGATAAGTGAGGCATTCATGTTACAATTGATCAGAATGGCAGTACATGCAGTTAAATCGCTCATGGCCACATTATGGAAGTCATCACAACCTTCCCTTCCAGAGAACTGTGTATAATTTAAAAAAACATGATTTTGCCCATTTTTATTGCCACTGCCTTATCTTCATCTCTATAAAGCACAAAAACTGGGGGAATTGTAATAGATATGGGGCTGCTACACTGGCCACATGTTTGTTTGTTTTGTTATTTTCTGTGACAGTATCACAAACTGGTGGTATCTAAAAACCTCATGACAGGCATCAGTACACAAAAGATAAATATTCCTCAGAGTTCTTGCTCCCGGTGTCGGAATCAACCTATTCGTTCTCTCCAGTTGCACCAGCCTATAAATAGGGTGGCATCTGCCAGTAATGTGGTCAAGCGGTATATCCAGTCAGCCTTGAGCTGTCATCTTTAAACGATAAGAGCGTGGGAGGAGAGAATAGTTGAGTATGGTGTCTGTGTGACATCCTCATTAATATATGTTCCACCAGTGCAAGGACAAAAGAAGCCAAATAAGGACAAACATGACGCTGCAACTACGCCTCTCACTGGGCTGGCAAATTTTCCTCATCACCTCACTCCTATCTTAACTCACCTACTCTTCTTTTATCCACTCATGTTTATTCAGGTCTTGATCATAATTTTCTCTTTTTTTAATTTTTTCCCAGCATTTCTGGTACTCATGGTTATTCTTATCCTCATTGCTCTTCTCACCTTTATTCTCCCTCCCTTCCTTTTTTCAACAGCCACTATGTTCTCCACCTCCATCATCTCATCCTCATTGCCCCTCACTAACCTGCCCCCCCCCCCTCTTTGCAATGTGATGGCAAGGTCCTGACTGCCACTCACAGTGGGATGGCAGCGAACAAAAGAGCAAAGCAAAAGGTCAACTTTTCCCGGCTGTCACTCAACACGCACCACCCTGCCTTGTGTCAAGTGTGAGAATCCGGGGGCACCCATCGATCCTTACGTCATTGACTGCACATTATACCCCACTCTCTCCATAAAGTGAATGCCGCCTAATCAGCCACTTCTGCAGATATTTGATTATCAGGAGCCTAACTGTAAACAGTAATTAAGCGTGTTAAATAGCATGTTAAATGATACCCAATCAAGGCTAACAAAAGGTAGTTCAATCAGAGGAAATACGCTTGGAATAATTTTCAATAAGCAATAACAAGCTCTGCAGTTACATTCTCTCTTCACGTCTTTAATGGTTTTTTACACCATTATCAAAAAGATTCTGTGTCCTTAAGCTTTTGTGCAGGCATGACAGTGTTATAATATTATCTTTGCAAAAATAACATTAAGATAATTATGAGTTATAAAGTGAGTGTGTGTTTTACACACTCCATCTTTGACTGTACTACTGGACTAATCAGAGTGCTGTAAAAATGGCAAAGGATTTGCTGGCAAGTCTGTTTAATTACTACACTTTTGCATCTCAAGCAACAGCGACTGATAAATTAGCCAAGTCACACATGTGTGTAATACATTTTTTATCTCATCTCCGCAGCAGCAACCAGGACTATCTCTTCAGGTTTATTTAAAGAATCCGCATGCCAGTCTGGTTCATTCTAGCCCCATCAGGATTTAAGTTTACAAAATGTGAATTAGACTACTGTATCTGTGACATTGTTAAGGACCACAGCTAAATGATGAGGGATAATTATAGCAAAAGGCTGGACATGTTATCATCTTTCTGCGCCTGTCAGGGGCACTATGAATAGCAATGAGTCATCAAGGCCTTTGTGCAACTGGGGACAAAAGTACAGGCTGGTAACAAAGTGCAGGGGACATAAACAGCCTTTGTAGGTCCCAAGGAATCTATTAAAGTCTTAATGATTCATTTCAGTGGAAGAATATTTAATCACTTTTGCAGTCAACAGTGTATGGGACCATCTCTCAGTAACTGAAAACGATAACCTTGACTGAAATAATTTCATTACTAATTTCCTGTCTGTTTTGTGGAGGTGTGTACATCCTGGGAAATCCAAACGAAGCAGACAAAACATTTTAAGGAAAAGCTGAAGGCTGATGAATGTGCATTAGCAAGATGGTGGTGCTTATCCTTCAAAGAGACATAAAAGCCAGAAATATGTTTTCTCTCCTGTGATTACATAAGTGGAGTATTGGAGCTGGAATTACACTCGATCATCTTCAAACGATTCTTATTTCACATCACATATTATCCTTAGCTGCTATGCTCTAACTCAATGCTTCCACCTAGCTTTTCAACCACAGAAGACACCTTGCTTTGGTACAGTGGCACAGCACTTTGCAGATGCACAAGAGTGCCTGCACACACACACACACACACACACACGCAGCGATTTCACTCACAGAGCCACATGGATCATCATCAATGGCTGCTTCCCTATAGCAACCACACTGACTGATGTGTGACTGAATGTGAAATGAACATCAGCTCATGTCCAAAACAAAAAAAAGGTGCACGATCGAGGAGACCGCCTCCTTGACGTACTCACAGAAAATAACAGGGGCAATCTTACCTTCCTGCACAGCCTGGAAGGGGTTGTTAGGCTCGATAAGTTTCACAGAGTGGGTGATTTTCTCGCTCTGCAGAATGTCGTCGTTCAGACTCAGGTCTGAAATGGCAAGTTGAAAAATCTCGTCATCTCTCACTGCGTTTTCCTCGAATATGGCACCTGTTGAATAAATCAATCAGAAGTTATTTGGAGAAAAAGGGAAAAAAACACTAGGGGGGGTTGGCGTGTGATTGCACGATTGGAGGCGCAGGGAGCAGTGAATGAGATGAATTGCTGGACCATCGCTAGTGCAAACTGAATAGGAGCGTTTTACTGTTATCCTCCAAAACCTGCCAACGTGATCCATAATTCAATAATGGGACGTGAAATGTAATTTTCTCTTGTTGGGTTTAATTTTGCCTTGAAGTTGTGCAACATTTGCGCCTCGGTGCGCAACCTGACAGGGTTTCAGCACCATGGACAGCGACACACAATCACTCTTATTTGATGCGTAGAGCAGCCAAACTTAGAAAATAAATGGCTCTCACGTCTACCAAATCAATGGCACCCTTCCCAATCAGCACTACAGGCCTAGTGTGGGAGGCTGAAGCTTAACTGCCCTCCCTTCTTTCTTACCCTGTTTATCTAAATGGCATCAGCTGCTATCGGGAGACACGCATATATCACGGAAAAAGGTTTCAGGAAATGAGAAGTATAATTGGGGTACCCTAACGTAAAGCGGCGCATCAGCCAATATTATCTGGATGGAGTCCCACCTCTGTATTAAGCCAGTGACTGAGCACCTGCTGCTTGCCAGACTGTTGCAGTAAACTGTGAACACCAGCAGCAGCAGGGGCAGCAGCGGAGGAACACCGAGACCAAATTTCCTCACAGTGACATTGACATTTTTATCTGAGATTACAACGCCAGTCATAAGTGGCTACCTGACTGTGTACATGAAAAGAGGACACAAACATAGACAATTATTCTGTGTGTGTGTGTGTGTGTGTATGTGTGTGTCTGTGGAGGGGAGATCATGTATGTATTTAAAAACTGTAAAATGAAATGTAACTCGGTTTCAGGACAAACACTGGATCATTTCAACGTCATGATGAGTTTAAAGTTCTGGAAAAAGGACAGCTCTGGTTTGAAGTTTGAGAACAAAGAGGCTCTATGCGTTTTGCATCTCTAAAACGAAACTCCACTGACATTCCCTCTGTCTTCATATTGACATTGCAGTCACGTTCCGGTGAAAGTTGAGCCTTGTCGGGTACAGACAAGAGGTAGCTTGGTCTAAAAAGCCTCAGCCATTTGGCTATTGGATATTAATTACATCAAAGATTCAACAATGCAGGCCTTTCTGCTTACTGTAATCCGTGTTTTGAATACTGAATTGCAATTTTACAGGCCGACAGTGATGAGGTTTGGACCTGAAGCCAGCGTGAATGCAAGGATCTGCCGTCGAAAAGTGTAAGAAATGTCTGCACGAAGAGGCTGACAGATAAATAATAGTGATAAACAATAACAAAAAATAGCTCTGGCTGTAAAGGTCAGAGGCACGGCCGATTACAAAACACCAACTTTTCAACTCGCCTAAGAGTCAAAGTGTTGCTTAAACACAGGATGCAAGCTGAATAGACTATTTATCCCGCCCTCTCACCCAAAATCCTGTGATCAACGCAGTATGCGCTGGCTGAGCTTTATCCCGGCACGCTTTGCCTTTTACACCCCGTCTAACCCCAAACAACATGTTGTTTTATCGGACGCTTACCGATATGTATGATGGAGTCCGCTCTGGCCGAATTGCATTGCAATATCCACAGGGAAAGGCAGATCAGCAGCAACTCCATCTCGGGATTTCAGCGAGGTGGCTCATCCAAGCTCTGCTCGGCTGTCCTATACTGTCCAAATGGAGCACCCAAAAGAAGAAAAAAAAGAAGAAGGAGAAAATAAAAGATGATCAAAACCCAGTGCAAAACAGAACCGCGGTCCTCCTCCTGGCAGACCAGACCCGCATGAAACCCTGCAGAAATTATCACAGTTTCTCTCCCCCCCCTTCTCTCTCTCTCTCTCTTCCCTCTCTCTCCCTTCTCTCTCTCCTCTTCTCTCCCCTTCCCTCTCTCTCCTTTTTTTTTATAACAACAACAAAGCGACCGCAGGAAGGTGGCCAAAAACGAGGAAGAACCAACGGGACCCGGTAAACTGAAACGCAGGTAGCCGGAGCAGAGAGACCGGTGTTACCTCTCTCACTCATCGCCTCTCTCCCCGCTCCGGGTGTAAGCGGGCAAGCAGCAAAAATGCGGAGGAGGACACCCCTTAACTACACACGGAGAGACGCTCACATCACACTACAACCAAAAAAAAAACACACCCCACACACGACACACGCAACACACACACACACACTCACTCTCTTCAGTCCTGTCTCGATCACGTGACTGCAGAGACTTCACGACTCGGCTGCTGTCCCGACAAGCCGGGTAGAAATGATTTGGACTAGCCGGAGAAACACGCTTGGAGAGCCGATATCCAAACACATGATCGGAGGTTGGAACAGACTAAGCAAAAAACTCCACCAGCCTTCATCACTTCCTGAAAAAAAAAAAGACAAAAAAACAAAAAACAAACGTAGATTAGCACCAGAGATGAAAAGTCGACGGCGGTGTAAACTGTTTACTTTTGCAGAAGTTGGCGTCTTCAGGGGATGGTGCGTGCGGAAGCAGACAGACACATTTGGGCGCACTTTAGTGGCGACGGAGCGCAGCTGATGTGGCAGAGAAAAGGATTTACACACCATGTTCATCTTCGGCAAAGGGCTGATGGATGAGGGACAGACGTGACAGAAGCCACAACGCCTGACTGAACCGGGGACCAGCTGGAAGGAGTTACCGAAAGAGCATTTTGCACTGGAACAAACAAATAGCTCATTGTTGTTGTTTTTTTATATTGTAGCTGCATCGCTTTTTCGATTCATTGATTATTGCTTCAGCAAAAAAAAAAAAAAAAAGAGAATGACGCCCTCGTTGTCTCGGGATTATGGCATTGGGGTACATTTTAAGGACAGGCTTTTTTTCTTTTGTGAATCAGACTACATGGTGCCAGTTAATCTTATTGGGTACCAGTCAGACGCCTCACATTGTTTGAGCAATGGCAGGCGTGCGCAGATCTGTGAAGAAGAGGAGGGATTCGTGCAAGAGACGGAGTTTCTAGATGGGCATAATCTTACAATTAAAGGATATTTCTCGTGACTGCAATAAAAACGGAAATATCTCTTAATTGTTTGGTTAAGTCTGTCAGAGGCGCAGAGCACAAACTTTCAGCACCACCGGCAGTGGACAGTTCCTTCACTGAACTGCACAAGTGCACGAAAAAAAAAAAAAAAAAGGCACCTGTAGGGCAAACAGAGTGAGCCATCTCTCTGTGTACTAAATGCCTCCATGTTTGTTTATTTGTTTCTTTGCAGGCACTGATTTAATTCTTGGAAGAAAACCTTAATTGGGAAAATAACTTCGCAGAGACGAAATTAACAACCACAGTTTATTATGGCCATCATCTGGTTTTCATAGCAGCCGAGGAATAAAAGTCCATGCCTCCCAAGTTGTTAGAAAATCACACACTACCCCTACTGGCCACCTGTGGATACTGCAGCTGTGGTTACGCAAAAAGTTTCAATTTTTACATAATTTATACAATTTATATATATAATTTCATTAGAAATATAGGCTAAAGGGGAAACTGGAAAGGGAATTTATAACACATTCTATTTGAGAACAAACAGTGCCCATAACATGAATATCTAAAACCGTAGATATTCCTGTCTGAATATATTGCTAACCCACATATCAGTGCCACAAGTCAGAGTTTACATGGAGCAATAGCTTTGACATAAAAGGAAAGGAAAAGGCTGTAATTGATCCCAGTTACAGTTTCCATAACACAGTAGATCAATCTAGACTCATTCCAGAGGGATTACAACAGAAAGCTTAACCCTGAGATCTGGGTTTTAAGCTGACAGTCATCCAAAATACCATAAACAATTCATCACATCCCAGCAGAGGAATAAATCTCTTAATTTCACTCATCTATGAAGCAATATGGTGCTGGGATTTCATCAAAAAATATAAATTATTCATTTTAACTGGCAATTCACACAAGTCTTAAAAAAGCTTAATTCTTTAAGTTTTCTTGCATTTATTATGACTGTATGTGATTTCTCTCTCCCTCTCGCTCTCTATCTCCGCTGGGGAGAGTAAGACACTCTGTGCATTTTGTGCAAAATTTGCACAAGAATAATGTTAACATGTTTCATCTGACTGCCACCTATAAGATCCAATTAATTTGTTATAAATAATTAAAAAATAAACTTTTTTTAGTCCCACACTATTATGAACAATATATATATATATTATTATATCTATATATATATTTATATATAAAATCAGAATGTGACACTAATAACAAGGTTATTGTTCAGCATCTGAAAGACATATTGTATCAAGTGACAGTTTTGTTTCTGGTTAACAGCTGTGATTGGACTCTATAGTGAGGATATGTATGTATAAGTAGTAGGTCTTGCTATGTTAGCTATTACCATATATCAGGTAGGCATGTTGAAAGTAATGTATGTCCTCTAATATTTATTCTCTGCATATAGAAAGGTATTTATCTGAATGAATAGCACTGTATGTTTGGTGCCATGACTAGGTGAATTCCATGCATTAGTAAGTAGAATTGATATGATAGAGGGAATACCTTTCCATAGAGAGTAAGCCATCCAATGGATAATCACCCATTTCATTCTTACCTGCTCTGATTTTGGTCCAAAAAACCTGTCCCCTATACTGTCGTTGGCATCTGTCAGTGTTTTGTCCCTTCAACTCCAGTTGTGGAGCACACCTCATGAATCTCCATGGGTGTCAACATAACTCAGTCTCAAAAGTGCTGCCAACAGTCACCAAGACATTGGCGGGTAGGTCACGCCTGCTCTCAGCGATGAAGGTGGAATTTCATTGTCACACAAACCTGAGTCATTAATGTTTATGGCTATGAGCAATGAAGTGAAAAGGAAAGACAGACTTTTTCTCCTCCTTTTTGGAACAAGGCCAAAAAGTGAATTTAGATGAAGAGGAGCTGTCACCTGCAGGTGTATCAACCCCCCCCCCCCCCCCCCCCAAAAAAAAGACAAAAACCCTGCTGTTAGTCATAAATAGATAAGTACCACCGCTACACAGTGACCTCTTACTAATGGCCTGTTCTTTGATAAACTCATTTTTCCTTCATCCCAAATAATACGCCATTGTAACCAAAAGCTTAAGGCACAAGTCTCTGCATGATTAATTGTTTCTATAGAATAGCATCTTTGCGTTCTGGGTCCTCAGTTCCCTCTGATGAGTCCCATTTCTCAGTTTAATCTTAAATTATTTTCTTATGCATGGCTTGGGGCTTTGCACACTGCTGCCTGTGAAATGGTTTACAGTGTAATACACAAGCCTTGCTCCTGTGTAGCTGGTCTCTGTCTTCACTGATTAGTAGCACTATTAGTACTATTGTAAATTCACTGGATCTGCTTTTGACTCCAAGAGGAGAAAGCTATTTAAACACAGTCATTTTTACACAGTAATGGCTAATTACTAACTGTTTGGCCTCATCCTTGCACATGGAGCCATGATTTGAACTAGTGATGTGCTGTAGAATAAGTCTGAGTTTAATCGCTTCATTAGCCTTTAGCCTAACATATCCTTGCACAAAGGAAAGAACTGGACAGAGCCAGCAGCATGCAGTCAAGTGTATTGTAAGTCAACATAATTAGACTACTTACTGCAGCAGTAGTCCGGCATACATAATAATGCATACATGTCACTTACTATTACCAGTTAGGAATGCACTGAGAGCAGCACCAGTACCCCACAATGGGAGAAGTATGTTAGCATATTTATAAAGTATTTGCTTTGCTACATTCATTGTAGGATAGGAGGAGATTACACTTTAATATTATGAGGTGACTGAAGAGTCTATCACCATGTAGTTAGCCCTGTCCATCCCATTTTGGTGCTGGATGTCCTTATATGAAGCCCCTGTACCAATTTGGAGAAGGGTTAAATCTCAGACAAGTTGGAAATCCATTCATGTCAAGCAGAAATGTGCAAAGAATAGCAATAAGTGTCTTCAGCACTAGAGGTGAATAAGCAAGACTCTCTCTTCCAAATACACAGCCTGAGGTAACATTATAGATTAATCATGTTATGGGAGAATAAGCGCAACCTCCATCACAAGCTCTGAATTTCAATGAGTGAATTGTTGACTACCCACATCATTATATATTTTTACATTACACTATACTGAACCAAAATGAAATATGCACTAGGTAATAAATATATAAATTATATATATGGAAAAATATACCAGTGGACAGAAGCTCTGAAACACTGGGAAATGTTGGTCTGTCTGTGTCAGCCAAGAACTTTGACAGCTGCTGCCAGAGCAGAGGTTTTGTGAGTTTTCCAGATGGGGACATAACTCTGGGATAAGCCTTACTCGAGTAACTTCAGGCATGATCTTACTCATGGATTGCAGGCTTGTAATGTGATGGTGCTTCTGTCACGTGATATATCAACTCAAAGTAAACACCTGTTTTAGATGTGACCTTTTAGGAAACACCCATTTTTCTCAGAACCAAACCAACAAAACATATACATACTAACACTAAATAGCCCACAGAATAGACTGGTTGTATGATCACTTGTTGGTTTGAGAAAAGCAAGAAGAGATTGTTGTAGCTGGAGTTATTGTATGAGCCTGACTTGAAGCAACCTGCTCATGACGAGGTAAAAGACGAAAAATGCTCTACTGCTATTCTGTTTCCTTTTGTTCCTGTGCCTCATCATCATGTCTGTGTCCAACTGTGAATGGATTGTGGTTAGGAAATATATAAAAGAAGAATAGCACATATACCAGATGTGGTCAGGGTTTTCTGTTTTTAGCTGTCCACAATTGATCTGC